AGCATACTAGAATTTGCACAAAACCCCTAAATACTAAATTTTTACATTTCTATTCGATTATGAAATAAAAATCTTAAAATGTATTGAACATAATCTCTAATAATTTGTTGAGATATCATTGCAGAGTTTCTCAATCAACAAGCTTATTTAAAGTTTTGTGCAAATTCTAGTATGCTTCATTTGCTTTATCGTTCTGATTTAGAGCAAATTTTATTTCTTGCCTCTTTTTAGAGTAGAAATCTTTGTTTTCAAGGAAATGGTTTTTAGAAGTTTTAAGCTTCACATTCTCTATCATTATATTTTACTCTCTAATGTATTTTCTATTCATAGTTGCTAAAATATTCTGCTAAACAGAATTAGCAAGAGGCTGAATACTAGTCTAATTTCTTGTAATACTCAAATGTGATTTTTCATTGAAATTTCTTTAAGATGTAGCTCTAAGTCTTAAAGCTGCAGGTATAGCGCTAAATCCTTAATTTCTCTAAAGACAACTTAGATCCACTTTGACTTTTTAGTCAGAATACTCACTCATTTGCCTTGTCTAGCCATCGCTTGTTGTACTACTCTCTGATCTCAAGATTGCATTCTGATTTCCATATAAGTATTTCAATCTCTTACTATTCAACACTTTAATCTCATCAAGTCTTTCTGATAAAAAGTATTTCTTATAGCTTTTCCATTCTTCATTTTGTAGGTAGTGTTTTCTTAGAGTCCAGTCAGGGTATATTGTAACTAAATTAGACTTGTAAGTCATCAAAGCTCTCTCCTATACAAAGCATAGGAAGTATCTCTTCTTTATTTTAAGCATCTCGCAAGGCATAACTGACATCACGGAGTAGTTCAACGCATCATTCATATCAAAATCTTCTCTTAGCATTTCACCATGAACTATATCAATTGCTTCCTCATCCTTAACTGAATATGCAACTCCAAAAGATTAATATGTGCCAAGCTAGTTAAGTTAAATACTATGCATTTCTGGCTTTTACATATTGATGGTATTGAAAACTTTGATTTGCTAGTATGGATTGTCAGTTATATTTATGTTTTAAGTAGTTGATATGGATTCATTCAGGGAGTGATGACTTGACTCATTCAGAGTTAATTTTAATGGATCATCTTTAAATATACTAGGATTACTTGAGTCATCATATTTTTATTTTGAGTAAAATGCTAAATCCCTAATTATTTTAACACTGCCAGACTTGATAAAGAATATATGGTTGCATTTTTGGTCCTGCTTGCATAAAATAGTATTACTTTTTACCTTAAAACTTTTTATTTTACTTGCTAATAGGATAATTTAGTTTTGCTGCATTAAATTTCCAAAGCCACATTAACATAGAAACTTTATATTCTCTTGTAACTCCTTCTTGAACTAAGTTGCAATGCAGTTATTGTATACTTCTGTTGGCAGAGTTAAGCAATACACAGTGTCAAGTGGACCAGTCACAAATGAAGCATGTAGAGGTATTTTCAAATGAAGGGACAATTAATAAAGCCATTTTCCAGAATTAACCACCCCAACTTATCTAAATTAATCTGTATTTTACTAAGTCCCAGTGCCCAATTTTTGGAATGGTAGCTTATTCATTCTCTTTTAATAAGTAGAGGTGCTTCAACTATCACTTAGAGTTGCTTCCCTTAACGAGGCTGCAAAGTCACTCATTTATATTGAGTTTTAGAAAGATGACTTATTCTTTTCATTGACTAAATTTCTTTCGTGCTAGTCTTTGGCTCTTCTAACCATTAAAACTTCTCCTTATATTAAAAAAAGCAGTCAATCTTGTGTCTAATCTTGCTAAGCTATTACTTCATTCGGTTTGAATGTTACTACATGCATGTATTTAGCCATAGTCAGTAGCATGTCGTGATCCTTAGAACCTAGTTCAGTAAAATATTTGTAATCCTAACATGAATGTTTAACATTTGCTATTAAAAATTAGAATATTACGAGTAAGAGTTGACTTATGATTTGCTTGTCTTTGTAATTTCTACCATGAGTAGGGAGTCTAAGAACGTTTAGAAGCATTTAGAATCTTTTATTTGGGTCTTATACATTTTCATCATCAAAGAGCAGTTCTCACTTGACTTAACGCTGCCTCACCATATTAGTTTGTTCATGAGGTGGAGTGAATGATAATGAATCCATATTGTTTTTATGAGAAAGTAAATTCTAATTAAATAAATAAGCAAAACGCAAGTTAATTAATCATAAACTAAGTAATAGTTCTATTCAATCTTTATATCAATCTTAAATACTTCAGAGTGGGTTTCATTTAGCCTTTCTACCTGTACTTTTGCTAGCTACTCTGTTTTAAGCAGGAGATACATCTTTTTATTATGATTTTCCTTTTTTATTTGCTTCAGGTTTCTTATCTACTTTTTCCTCTTTTTGTTGGACTTTTTTTGGTTAAGCGTTGCCATCATTCAGCTTTCTCTTCTTAGCATCTCCTTACACTATAGGCTTAGCTTATTCGTTCTCCTTCTATTTGGTTTCTTATGTCTTGCCAGCAGATGCTTGCTTCTTTTCCTCCTTTTTAGGTTTTTCCTCAGCTACAGTTTTCTTGTTTTATTTGTTGGCAGTTTTTTATGAACTTTCAGGGGCTTTTCTCACTTTTGACTTCTCCTTTTGAGCTGGCTTTGAAGTTTGCTCCTTAATAAGCTCCACTTATTAAGACTAGATAATATCCTACTTCTTTGGAGTAGTGGTTGGCTTTGCTTGCACCAAAGGGGAGACTGGTTCAGCCTTCTTTTCCTCATCAACTTCGTATGCTTTCTTTTCTTCCTTTTCAGGCTATTCAAACTCTTCTCTGGATCTCTTTTTATTGTTATCAATTTAAGACTTAACTATTTTCGGAGTAGCGGGCTTCTTTTTCTCTTCTGGTGGAATTACAAAATTAGCTACCTCTGGCTCGAATTCTGGTATCTATTTATTGTTGAGATCATTAGATGTTAAAACTACGACATGTTGAGTGCCAAGACCAACATCTCTTACCGGGAATTCCTCAAACATTTTTGGATGGACTTTGTATGGTTTGTACTCATTCTCCTCATCTCTATTTCCAAGTACATAACTAGAACCCATTCCCCATGAATAGATTTAGTTTGATTTATTCTCATCACTAACTTAAAGTGCATAGCAATAGTTACCAGATGCAAACACCTTTGAAATTTTGATTTGCTTGGTTTGATCATTATCATCCCAAAGATCGAGTACAATTTGGGGATGAGTGAAATAACCAATATTTATTAAATCATCTTCTTTTTCAGCGTATTTCTCCTCGGCTGTTTTCTTCTTGCGTCCTCCAGATTTTGCTTTTTGCGATTGCTCAATTTATTGCTTAGCTCCATCTTCTTGATTCTATTGCTCTATTTTATCTTCATTCATGACTGCATCCTATTGCTATAGCTTTTATTATGCTTCTAGTTCTGACTTCTTTTGCTTTTCTTCCTCTTCCTTCATCATTCTCTCATATTCCTCCTGAGCTTTTCTCTTTCTGTAGGCTCCATATAAATCGCCAAGACCGCACTGGGCTTCATCGTTTCTTCCCCAGCAATACACTTTTCCTTCCTGAGTCACTGCAATTGAATGATGCTCTCCGCCTGTGATAAAAGTCACATGCTGACCATCTAATTCTGGGACATGCTCTGGAGTGCAGAGATTCTCTTTATGTCCAACTCCAAGTTAGCCATGATTATTTAAACCCCAAGCATACACTCTTCCATCTTTATTGACGTAAAATGAGTGGTGATTTCCACAATAGATATCCTTTACATGTCTTGCATGAATTTTCTCTATTCTCAATGCTTGTTCGTTCTTGTTTCTAGTCTTTAGCATTCTTCCAATTTTCCCACTTTCTGGATCTCCCCATCCATATACTTCGCCATCTGTAGTCAAAGCTAATGTATGATGTGCTCCACTCTGCACTTTCTGAATATAAGTCTTATTTGATTTATTAAACAGTTCTTGGCCGATTCTTGTTGGCTCTTTCACTGGCTCATATGTTCTTCCTGTCATTGCATTCTATATAAAGCGTGATGACATAAATGCTGAAATTTACTCTGTAAAGACCCCATAAATAGACCTAATTTAAGTTGGTATTATAGGCGACACTGTGGCAGTCTCCAGCAGTGATGTCAGTGATTGGAACGTTGATAGTGTTTGCTACTTCAAGAGGAGTGTTTTCTGGACCCTATCTGCCGAGAGCGCCCTCGTCATTGCAGCCCCAAGTATAGACTTTTCCCTGATTAGAGAGGGCAACTGTGTGCATCCCGCCACATACAACCTTCAAGATTCTGTTTCCTACTAGTCCTGCCATGTCAAAGATAGGAATTCTCCTTGGTTTCTTGATCTCCAATGGTTGATCATCTCCAAGACCTATTGTTTAAAGTAAATTTAAGATAAAAGAATTACCTAATTGCTCGCACTCTCCACTACCAAATACGTAAACTAAACTCATTTGTTTTAATATTTATATATATACAACCTTTCAGAATATGAGATAAATTGAAACAATTTTATTAAATGATCGCAACTCCTTAATAATGCTTTCATAGATTTAAATTATTTAAAGTAATTAACTAAATATACTTCCACAGTACTTCGATTGATTCATTGAATACAGGGGTTTTGGGGTTTTGGGGTTTTGGGG